GTTTCGATTGTTTGATGTCGTTATTCCGTTTCATGTTGACTTTTAGTGAAGGAACTTTGCTTTTGTGCTGTTTTCAGCTCCGATAGGAGTTTGGATTTGCTCAGGTGAGATGTGCACGGATGTGTGTGGGACTGAGCTTTGAATCGCCATCTTCCATCTACTTCTGTTTGCTCTCGTCAGGCCTGGCCTGTTCTGATAGCGAAAGAAAAGATTTTGAGAGGATCATTCTGCAGAGCAGAGGGCTTGTGTTGTTTGTGAGTGTACAGTGAGCTTCAGTGGTGTAACGTCAGCATTATTGACTTTGGGGTTATTGACTGAAAGCCCAGAGATTTATTCAATCACCATCTGGTGTGGTAAGCACAGTTTCTGGAGGTGATATAAATCTTCTGCTTATCGTTATGAAATGTTTCTCTGCGCAACCAAATGACCTTTTCTCACTGAGAGCAGAGTCACTTCTCATCTTACGGAGCGAAAACTTCCCTTTTTATCGCAGTTTTATGTCATTATATTTGTACAAATCCAAGGTCTTTGACAGGACAGTTGATACGTTTGGCCTTTTCAAATATGCACAATTCACTAATTGTTTTGTTCAATTTTTTTATATACATCTGGGTACATGCAGAGCTCCTTGGTGTATTCTTCTTAAACTGGAATGTGGAACGTGGAAATTCTTAAAACTCCAGAGTCCACTGTTTCTGTTTGTTCAATTTAAGAATAATTTGGACTCTCATGGTTATGCCACGAGACATGCAGCTGAAGGACAATTTGTAATTCCTAGGGCGAAAACTAATTTCCCCAAATGCACCTTTACTTACAGAGCAATGAAAGAATGGAACTCATTGCCATTGATTCTCATAAAAATTGTACATAAGTCTGCTTTTAAAATGCAACTTAAGATGTTTTTAGGAGCAACTTATCTATAAATGAAATAGTTTCATATTCTAATTTATTGTAACTTATCCATAAAATGTTAAAATTTCAAATTGTAACTTTCCCCTTTTCTATGAATGTTCAGTCTTATTGATATGTATACTGTATGATATTTGTCATCTGTCAAACATGTTCATGAAATTACATTGTATACTGTATTTTTAATGATGTGGACCCCAGGAAGAGTAGCTGGGTGTAAAGCCCAGGTAATGGGGATCCTGATAATTAGGGGGGCCACTGCGAGCGGCAGGCCCCCCTATTACTATCCAAA